AATATTTGTTTGTTTGCGTAAGGTTGCTGTTGGTTACATAAAACAACATTGTTCTTAAAATAATTGTTCTTCGTTTTAGATCTTTTATATTAGAATTTATATTTGTTCAAAACAACTAAAAAACAAAACAGTGTTAAAAATCTGTATGACTTACATTTAACGGAGGTTAAGAAGGGATGRATCCATGGTATTTAAWTTTCATGATGGACATCACCGTATATGATCAGATAGCATAATACAGTTTAATACATAAAAATTAATGTTTATTTTATTTTTTATTATTATTGATATAAAACTTTAGCAGATAATACCATTAGTTTTGTCTATTTGTGAAGTTAGAATTTTGTATRGCTGATGAGACTTATAGAATCAAAAAATATCCAATCGATTTTGATGATTCATGAAAGGTTTAGATAATTGCTTGAACAAGTTATTTTAGGGTGGATTACCCGCAATTAATAATATTAAATATTCGTATATTTCTGCTTCAGTTGATTTACTTGAGACAACCATTACCTGTTAGTTACCTATATTTTCTGGATCCACTGATMTGAGATATCCTGGCAACATCGGGTAAAACAGTTAGTAATTAATATTTATGTCTTACCTATTAATACCTTTATTGGCTTTATTAAACAATAGTATTTATAAAGTAACAAAAAATATGAATTATTCACTATTTTGTGTTGTATTTATTCATTTCATTTAAACATTATAGATGATTACATATGTTTTAAAACAAGTTTATACGAAGCTTTTATACCAAATCCTCCCAAAGTTTAGTATTTAAATATAGATAAATTAAAATTAGTTTAAATATTTTGTGATATCTAACCACTCYTCTATCGATAAATATTGTCTAAATGTTCTCTAATCTTTAAATGTATATCTTTAGTTTTTGTTTGAAATTTTTTTTTTTTTATTGAGCTAAAAAAAAACATCAACAACAAAGGCTATTAGTTTTTTGTTAAGATACAATGTTAAGGTTATTACAATGTTTATATGATGCTAACTACATATGGTTACTATTTAAGTTAATGTTACAATTTTTTTTTTTAACAATATGTTTAAACTTCGTTGTATAAATCTGATCCTTTGAGAAAGGCTATCATGTTCGATGTGGTCTCGTTGCTCGGTCCCAGAGCTCCATACAAGTTGGGTGGAATTGTTTGAAATTTAATTAACGAAAGACGATAAGATTTTGAAATTATAATTTTATGATTATTATTAACATTTTATGTAGATTAGTAACTAAAGGAACCTTGTGTTTAACATCATAAGTTGTAGTGATTATATTCAAATAKTATAATTCATATAACTYAAAATAAATGTTAATTGATAAAATACATATTTTATCTACAGTAGTTTAAAAACAYAAATATTTAATGAAATATAAAAAACATTCTTAGTCATTATAGTGTATGATTTAAGGTTAAAATAGGGAAAATTACTAGAAATTAGATTGTATTTTTAAAGAAAAAATAACGACGTTCAATTATTTAAATGTAGTTGTCAACTGTACCTACTACCTAGTAATAAAGAAAGCATAAGAACCATGTTTTCTTATAGAACTAATAATCTCGTGTAGGTACTCATGGGCACACCTAGTTCAAGTAGATTCATGAAAAAATCTATTGCATAAAACGAAAAGTAGGTTGTTAAATATTTTTTTATTTATTTAAAATGATAACTATGATATGTACAGCGTAACTAGATAAATAATCACTTATCATTAATGACCATTTTTAGTATTTTGGACAGTTATTAATGTTTGTATAACCTGAAAAACATAAAAATATAAAAATTGTGTAATAGTTGAAGATAGTGGCGCTTTATCGTTGTTTTATTGCTTCCGAAATTCTTCAAATTCTTACATTTCTACATCATATGAATAGTCAATACGATAACTTTACGTTGCCTCAATGTCCACTAGGCATAATTAAAAGAAAAATATGCAGATGATTCGATTCAAGTTTTTCATCAACTTCTGAATTCAATGAATTATAATTTTCAAAACTCAATTTTCAACAATCCGTACACTATTTAGTTTAACTGTGGTTGATAGCCRCCTCGTATGTATCTTATACCAACTATACAACACCAATATTATAATGTTTATGTTTATATTTCGCTGATAATTGACAGTAAGAAAGAAATRAATGATCATCTTACATAAAATATAGAATTTGCACATAACACATCACTGTACAGTGGTCCTAATTTTTGTGTTCAGTGGTAATTAAGGTGGCTGTAATAACCACGTATATACAACTGAAGATATATTATTAAAAACCCSAAGAGGACGTCACACCCGCATGCGTTGTCTCCGTCTTACAAACTTAGAACATAGCAAAAAATGCACTTGCACACGACCACTTTTCTCCTTCAGTATTTATAATAGAATTATCAAAATTCCACAACGCATAGGTAAGAACTCTATCTGTGTCATGACGTCGTTATTTTTTTTTGATAACATAAATATAATTAAAATTATAAGCTTAAGAAAATAAAGTTATTTTTTATTTTTTCATTCAATTGTTAAAAATTATTGGTTTGTGCCATCAAAAAAATAATCACGCTACGGCAAAGATAAAGTTCTTACCTATGCTTTGTAAAATTCTGATAATTCTACTATAAATACTGAGGGAAAAAAGTTGTCTCGTGCAAGTAAATTTTTGCTATGTTCTACGTTTGTAAGATGGAGATATCGCATGAGTGTGTAACGTCCTCTTAAAACGAATTATGTATCACATACATTTTACAAATAAGATACCACTTAAAACCATTTAGTCATTTAGTAAAATGGCTTAGAAAAATTAAAATTATATCATTAAACGAGTTAAACTGAGTACGATTATTTTATTTGGGTTCCTCCTTTTTTTGGAATATGATTAAGACAATACGACCAAAACTATGACACATTATTTGTTCARTACTTGCTTATTTTTAGTCATAAAATAATAAAGTATTAAATCTTAAATTAATAATGAAGTTTTAAAACATTAATTACTGCAAATTAATAGGAATAATTAGAATTTCAAAAAATCAAAATAGCTAATAACAGAATAAGTGTATTATACCTATTATTATTATTTAATTTTTAATCGACAAGAGGTGTGTAGTTAATTTTAAAAATATTAGAGAAATCAATCAMTAAAATAGGTGTTTTCAGAACAAAATATTCTCCTACACTCACAGAAAACAAAAAATATTTCATGATAATGTAATAGAATTCTTTTAAAGTACTAAACACTTTGTAAACAATTAATTCCTAGCTTTTTTACCTGCTTCATTTCGGCATTAYATTGTTAGCTCATCGAATATTCTGAACGTTGGCCGTCTACGATATCCTATGTCACCGTAGATAGTTCTAAAGAACTTATGTTTCAAGTGATAAATTACGGCGGAACAGTCGTAAATCTGGAGTAAATTTCGATTTTTCTCGTGACCGGTAAATTGTAGCTGATGGCTGAATCGCTGGATATCAACTGCGTGCGCTATTCGACAGACGACCACTGATTGTCAGACGTCAATGGCCTTTGAATATATTTTATGCCGTACGCTATTTTCATGAATTTATTCAGAATAGTGACAATTAATGTTAAGATTAGATATCTCAGAGAGACGAATAGAGTCATATTGTTCAAGTTGATTGTGATTAGAACGTGTGAGACTATGATGATCACAATAATTTTAAACAATGGACTCAAAATGTATGTAATTATATGACCAAATACTTCGGAAAATCTTTATAGTATTTATTGTTCTGGTTGTAACAGATTACGTAATATACAGTTTTGTTAAACAATTATTTAATTAGTTTATTTACACAATCTAATCTTAGCGGTGGTGCGGTTACAGCTACGAGAYAGTGGCAGTGTGATACTCAYATCGTTATCACACCTTTAAAAAAATCCATCTATTAAATATACACACAGATATTATGATAGTGCTATAATTTATAATGATATCAATATTATTTATCGRCAAATTGATGTAATCAATTTGCATTTTTAACTTGTTATGATTGTTTTTAATATGGTTATGAATTATAATAGTAATATAAATATAATAATATACATAAAAAAATATTATATTTTAATACAATTGATACACAACAATGATAATATATCAATACAAATCTACCGCCCCCTAAATTAACTAAAATATTGTCACCTCTGGTATAAAGGTACACTCCTCTCACAATTTATACGTATCTGTATACAAACGTCGCAATCTTTCAAATCCGTTTGAATACAAATACCTAGTAAGTTTTTTATAATTCAGTGTTTTTTAATATTTTTTTATTTTTTATATTATTTAGTTTTGTCGAATTTGTATGAGGAAATTAAATAAATTCTATGTTTTTCCTTAATGTACCAAATAATATATTTTTAACCATCATTATAATTTTGTTTATTTTTAATTTTAATTGTATTTATCTTAATTAATAATAATAATAATAAGTATATAAATAATTTAATATTTATGCCGACGAATTAAAAAAAAAATTAATATAGTTTATATTGTTTGACGTTAACAGAAAGTAATAATAAGAGTAAAATATATATTAATTAATAATAAATAATATTATATTAAAATTAAAATTAAAACACAAACATTTTTTTTTTAAATATATAATTTTGATAATTTATTATAGATAAAAATAATTCAAACATTACAACAAAATGAAAATAATATTATAAAGGGTAGAAAATATTATTCATATCCTCAGAACGACAATATGGATTTCTACTTAATATGAAAATCGTTAAGTAAAAATAAGTAAAAAATAAACGAGTAATATTTTGATGTTTCGTACAAATTTTAACTATAATTTATTTTATATTAATTTAAAAAAAATATTTCATCTGTTATAAAATTGTGGATACATTCTGTATTAAAAAAAAATTATGGAGTATATTAATTTAAATTGAATTATCGGCAGTATCTTCTTCTTCTTCTTCTTCTTCTTCTTCTTCTTCTTTTTCTTTTTCTTCTTCTTCATCATCACAATAATATCGTTCATCGCACCATTTAAACCATTCTACTGTTGACGGCTTATTGAAAATGTTTTTTAAGCGATAGTCTGAAACTTCCTTCAATGTTGACAAATACAACTTTAACTTTCTGTTTGGAATATAATTCACTAACGGTGATAAGATCCTGGAATTTTAATGTGAATTATTAACAAAATATTATTTATTATTATTATTGTTTTTATTGTTATTAATACTAGTTGTCTGTATTGATTAGTGTTATTAACATTTATTACGATTAATTATTAGGTTTTATTTTAATAACTAAAATTGGTCAAACCAAAATATTTACAACTTAGGTGGCAATTATCAATGTCTAAGGTTTGTACATTACCTAATCTACCTAATATCTACTTTAAAAGTCAAAACGTTTATCTGGTTACAATAGCATTCTGGTAAATGAAACGTATTTTAAGTCTGGTTTGAATATTTTCAAGAAAACTATTTACGAAATAAACATAACAAATCCAATGAATTGTCCATAATAATATAAACTCTGCAGYGTGTCCTAAAAGGAAGTTGTACAATTTGACAAGTAAATATTATTTTAACTACTAATCTTCTTGTGAACCTATAGGTGTTTAAATTTATTTGTGAAAAAAAACTCTTAATTAGTTATATAAGTACCTTATTTCGTTTATTTTTTTTTACAAGAGTGTTTTATAATTGAATAAATATAACAGACACGTATCTTCTAATCATATAGCATTAAAGATTAAACTATACAAAATGGAATTAATTGTAAATAATGTTAGTAGAAAATATAAATTCAATTTTACCATTAAAAACTTATATTTGGATTTCGATTGATAATTTGGGTAAATACTCATTTTTAACTGAATATTTTAATATGGGCTTATAAAAATATTTTATAACTACTTAAACACAKATCAAATTTACATAAAATTTTTTACTTTAAGGTATATAAATAATTGGAATTRTTCATGAAAAAATGTCTCATAATAATTCGTAAGCAACTAATAATTAAATTTTGACCATTTTAAACATTAAAATTTAAAAGATTTAAAAAAAAAATGTATTTAAGTTTTTCATTTGTTTAACTCTTTAACTCATAGTGACGTGCATTTTTAATTTTATATTTCAAATCGGAATGTTTTTCGATACATTTATGTTGTATTTTAAACGAGTGGTTAATCTATAACTTTATTAATATTTAAATCTTAGATGAGCGTAGTAGAAAAGTATCCCACAAAATATTGGTGCATTCTTTCGTTAATCTAAACTTAAAATAAGGTATAATATTTTTTAACAAACTATTCGTTTATAGTATAGTTATAATACATATTAAATTGTTTTAATGTATATAAATAATATATGATGTTTAATAAATAAAATATCTTAGTTAAAACATGTCAGAAATATCATTTAAAAAGAATTYATGAATTATGAAATAAATTCAAGTCATTTTATTTTTAATGTTTTCGATTCACTTATTAGTGCATATTTTATTTTTATATATCTGTGTAAGTCATGGAAATAGTATGTAATTTTGAATTGGGGATAGACATTGTAGACTTATCTATTGTCAACATTTCGTTCCCGTCAAAATCCGAATAAAAAATATGTCCCAAATATCGCGGTTACTCGTATAGTTTATGCGATTTAAAATAAGACGGAAACCTATAATTGTAAAAATCATCAGAAATTTCGGACTTTAAAATGTTATCAACTTAACGTTAGAACGCGATTGTGACATTTTGCGATAGAGAAAATTGAATTGACGTTTTTTACCAGTTCGTCAATATGGATTGTAGACTCGGTGATTTGGTGCCGGACACAAGACAGGCTGTCTTCTCCACGCACTTGGCCGATTGCACGAAGGCCACAAACTGTAATAAATTTCCAGCCGCACCCAGCGTGTCCAGACCGGTTGTGCTCCTCCTGAGTACTGAGTCGGTGATGCTGTCGTTACGCAACTGGATTGCGGTATTAGCCATTCCGCTCATGGGTGGTGGGGGCATCCCGGGGTTTGGCTGCATCATGGCCAAATTCTGGAGATAGGTCAGCAGGTTGGGCAACATGGGTAACAGGAGCAGCCTCATAAGCTTGCAAATAATGGTGAACTTGGCGAACAAGAATCCCTTTAGCACCACCAACAGCTTCAACTTGACCCACAGGAAGACGAGGAACTTGATCACTGTGAGCACCTTGAGCTTGGCCAAACCGATCTTGACCAATACCAGCAAGGCCAACTTGTATATGTCGATGGACATCTTGTGGCTGGGTTGCCGGACCTCAGCCACGACGGTCGCCGGTCGCGAAGATTGTGTCGGCGGGTCGCTGTACCAACCGATGTAGCCGTCCCCGCCGCTATTGTCTACGTTGACGTTTTTGAACGATTCCGACTCGTAATTGGCGCTCCCGGAATTGTGGTCCACGCTGTTTTCATAAGTGTTGTATCCACCGGTGATGCTGCTGCTGCCGTCCGCCGCCACATCCGTCTCCATGATCATTGGTCCGTATTTTTTCAATTGCCTRTGACTGGGGTAGTATCTGTAAAACACGACAACCGATCAAACGCCATAGAAAGTGTGGCACCTGAGGTGAAATTGGGTTAGGAGAGAGGAAGACTAGACACCCTATACTACAAAACTGACTGTGCTTAAAGGTCTCTGCGTTTACTAATAATTAAGGTGTACACTGTTACGCTTTGGCCATAGCTTAATCAAAAAAAAAAAAAATTCCTCCGTAAGGATTAACAAAAGTTTTTTTTCTTTTTAAATTTAGATTTATCAGTTATAATCAATTATCGAGTAAAGCATGATTTTTATAGTTTTTTTTTTTTGTTTAATAAAACTATTGAAAATGGAAAATATAATTATAGTATCGATTATATTGATTATGTCGATAAAGAAAGTTTCCTACTTAATCGAAAAAAAAAATGTTTGGTTCCTCAAATGAATGAATAATCTATTCTTTAGTGGCGGTTTATTAAGTGGGTATATGAGAAAAAACATTCATTTAATAATTCTATTAACGTTAAGATTTGACAGATTGTCGAATTGACTGAAACCAAGACTTTTCTTTATAGGTTCCTACCTACATGCTATGTTTTCTTATTTCATATAATCATTGTTCTTGATGTCATGATTTTTAATCATACAATTGTTCAATTCAACGCATTATAACTTATTCTCGTTAGTCTTAATAATTATAAGTTGACCATTAGTCGTGAATCACTATTATATTTTCATTTTTCCTACCTATATTTAATTATTCAGAATTATTACTATACTCGATTTAACACAATATTTATAACTTATTCTCTTTAGTCTAAACAATTATTATTGTTTATTTCAAATTAAATTAAATTGTAATTTTTTCTATCGCAAATAAAGTGGTCACCGCTTATTATGATCACGGTTAATGTTATCAATCATCTATTATTATCGAAAAGTATAAGTACGGGCTGAATTTATACTTATATGTGTAAAATAAGCCGGTTATTGTAATCAATACGCCAAATGTTATTAGAAAATTATTTGAAAATCGATGAAAATATACTTAGGTACTACTCAAATTATACTGAAGAAGATATTGTACATCTTAATCACAAACAAAACCTGGAGAAATTTAAAGCGATAAGAAATTGAGCTCGAGCCATAAACAGATACCGAAAAATGTCCCAGGTTCTTTTTAAATGAGAGTGGCCCAACGAGTATTAAAAAGAGGAGTGCAAAAACACTTTATCCAATTTATAATTACAATATAAATACAACATTTTATCAATGATCTTTTAACGGTAAAAAA